TTGAACTTTAGATAACACCTGAATCTGGTACCATTTGGTAAAAAATAGTTGAAAAAAATGCCATTTTTTACATAAAAATCCATTAAAAAAGGAATTATGTTTTAGGTATTGTTTTTTTCCCTATTTTTTGTGACAATGATTGAATTGATGGCATCTTTACAGAAGTCCTGAACAAGGTGATGAAACTGAGATTTGAACTTTATATAGGGGTTACTAAGTTAATAATATAATTTATGATTATTGGCGTGGCAATGATATATGGAAACTATATTAACCCTGAATATGGGGATATGAATAAACTGCAAGTGAATCCATGGCATTTGATTGGCTAATCAGATTTTAGTTTGTGTTCATGTAAGCCTTGCCCACTAAATAACTGTTTCCTGACTGGCTGATAATAGACTTGGTGGAGCTTGTTTTTGGAAGTTTAAACGTAAAAACTGGGTGCATGCTTTTTGTAAATTTGCTATTATGTATAACTCCATAAATGCAAAAATATTGAAGTCAATGTAGCAATAATAATCAACAGGGTCAACAGGATTTTGAACTGATGACCAACAGAATCTGGCAGCTACATGATAGTACATGTACTTGAATTGTGGTGGTACGCCTCACTGGGCTTTCTGTTGAAATGTTTGTGTTCTGTGACCAGCATTTATCATCCCAAACTGGCTCCCACAGGAGATATGGCTTGTGTGAGATCAAGCGATATCTTCATTGTTGATATCGCTGCAATGAAATTGCATCACAATGCTTTGAAGACCATTGTGACATCATTGGTTGGTAACCAATGGTTACCATGACGTCACAATCAAATGACATCACTAATGGCTCTGCTACTGAAGCTGTTAGCAGTACTTTTTACACTTAAGACACTCCTTATGACTGTCTACAAACTGAAAAAGTTGGAAGAATGATGTTGGATGATAAATAAAATCTCACTCGAGTGTCTTTTGATATAAAATATATCAACACTCGTTGGCAAGCCTTAAATTATAATGAAAAGGAGCCAAGAGACTTTCTTCAATTTCAGAAGATACTGCAGTAATCTAGACTTGCCAAATGTTATAGACTTGCATGGGCTGTATTGGATACATTTGTTTCAAGGTCTTCATGACAGACTAGAGCAGGACATGCTTACCCTTTTTGCAAACATCTGGTGTCATCACTGATTTTCAGTGATCCAATCATATCATTTTCATCACTATTTTTCTTGTACGCCTAATGAAATATGTTCGGCAGATAATCGAGACTGATTATTCTCTGGCGTTGACATTTTGAATTCCACATTATCCCACTGGGGAAACCAATAATAGGCTGCCTATGTATGGAATCAAACTCAGATTGATGAGTGAACACTTTAACCACTAGGCTATGCACTGGTGTATGTTAAATAACTCAAAGTATGTGATTACCTCTAATTATGAGGCATCATGTCATACTTCCTCTCTGGACATCCGAATACAGAAGAGGGATTAGCCCCATGAGGAAGGAAGCGTTTGATTGGTGGGGGTCAAACACACTGGTCATGTTGGAGCATGTGTGCAAAGATGTCTGACGCCTATCAGGTGACCTCAAAAGTGCCAGTAATTGGTCAATTTCCAGACATCATTTCCTGAAACGCTTGCGCCATGTGTCGAAATTGCAATTGTTAAGGATGGTCTCACATCTATGATGCATTACGTTGAAATTGAGAAGTAGTCTCTTGTCATATGAACAACTTTTTTTCGTTGTGATAATGCAATTGACGAACACGTTTACATGTCAATTTCATCATGTCATTCATTTCTTCACCCGAGCAAACTGGGGTCAGGACTACATGCGAAGGAGGACTCTTACACTGGTGATGACCAAAGTACACAGTGTATATTACTACACCTTATGGATGCTTATGACGTCCCTTTTTCTGTTTGTATTTGTCTTTGGTAGGACTACGGACAAGGGAAAAATACATTTGTTTGATGAGTTACAGAAAAGCCTCATGAAAGCAAACAAATGTTTATTAAATTAGGATTAAGTATATGAGTGAGTGAGTGAGTTGGGTTTAATGCGGTTGGAACTGTATTCCAGTTATATCATGGCATGTCAGCTTAATATGGGAGGAAAGATCGAAGTGATGCAGGTCTCAGATGTTTGCCATTTTGGTGAAAGCCATGAGCACAGGTATGGTACTGACAAACCTAGAAACTGGAATTTGAACCCACAATCATAGGTTTCTGGCGTGCCCAAGGGACGCAACTCTGCACAGTGATGCACAGTGAAGCCTGAAGTGATGCAGGTCTCAGACGTTTACCACTTCGGTTAAACCCACGAGCACGGGTATGGTGCTGACAAACCTAGAAACATAATCAGGGCGAACCGGGATTCGCCTCACTAGACTGGGCCTCCAATAGCATTAGTAAATATATAAGACAGATTGGTCAATTTTGGCAGATGAGTACAATCTCATTGTCCAATGATGCCATCACATGATGAAGATGTAATATCAGGAAGGGATATGCCAGCATGAAGATCCTGTTAGAATTGATCTTCAGCAACCCATGGCGACTATGCTTGTCATAAGAGGTGGCTAACAGGATCGGGTGGTCAGGCTCACTGACTTGGTTGATGCATGTTATGATATCCGAAATGCATAGATTGATGATCATGATGTCAGTCCCTGGATTGTCTGGTCCAGACTTGATTATTTGCAGACCACTGTCATAGCTGGAATATTGCTGAGTGCGGCATTAAACAACAAACAAACAAACAAATAAGACAAGAAGGGATATGTCACCTGTTTTATCCTGGTAATTCAATCTTATTACTGTTTACTAACCTTTCCACTGGGCACTTGTCAGTTTTTCTTTAGGTTTTTGATGTTGATAGACAAAAAGTAAATCGGTTTTTTTATGTATGTGTCATGCAATGTAAATTGCCTCCCCTAGCTGGGAAATATACCGCAGATCATACTAGCTGGTTCTTTCATTTTGTGACTGAAACTTTGAAACAAATTGGATGATTAACAATATTTCTACTGAATTAGGAAATTATTTTAAAAATCATTTGTACTATCTGGGTCTTAAAGTGATACATTTGACTGAAACTTTGAAACAAAATTGGTGATCAGTAGAATGTTTTTTAGAAATTACTGATATCATCTATCCACTGGATCTTCTACTTTTATACATTATCTGCCTATCCCACAGAATGTCTGTGCGTGTTCTGCACAGGTCGAAAGAGAAAGCACATATCCGATAGCACCATTAACTACACACAATGCTACTGATTAAATCCGCTGACATTTTTTCTTTGTTGAACCAAATTGTTGAGGTTCATCAAAGCATTTCTATTCTTTGGATTTATTTTACAATGTGTGTATCATGTTTTTTAACTGCTCATGCTGTAAACAAATCCTAGAAACTAAATTCAGCATGAAACATTTTTCAGCCAAGACAACTGTCTTTTGAATAATTTCTGAGCACCGCTACTATGGGGCAATTAAAGTTGCATCTAAAGTTTCCCACGATTAGCAGAATCTTTGAAGGATAGAGGTGTATTAAGTTCCAATTTTAATCACTTTCTTGGTCTTTTAAAAAAAGGGAAGAAATTTCATTCCCTTTGGAAAAAACCCCGAAATTGAATTCTTTTTAATAGGAAAGGTATAGGCAGGTGAAAGTGACACTTGCAAGTCTTGTTAGTCCTAATGTTGTTTTCATTAAACTTCTGTTAACCCTTGTGGTGAGGATGGGAAATTGAATTAACCCTCAAGCTGTCAGATATTTTGGTTGATTTTGTAAGAATGGTTACAATTTGGTAAGATTATCATGTATGGTTTGGAAATAAGAGTCAATCCTAAGAATGAAAGTATAAGCGTTACAGAGTCTAACTGAGAATGTGTGGTCTGCTGGATGTAATTTGATAATTTGATTTTTTATAATAAAGTTTTTTTGATGCTCGGAAAGTTGACAACAAGCTTATAGCTAACATTGATAAGTCTCATAAGTGATAGTCAAGGAAGAATAGTCCTGTAAACTCTCTAACGAATTGGCAATATAATTTTTTAAATTAGTATGTGTAAATCAGGGGATGTAATATCAAGAATGCTTGCAATAAGATGCGACTAACGGTATCAGGTGGTCAGACATGCTGACTTGGTTGATGCATGTGACCATATCGCAATTGCATAGATCGATGTCAATCACTGGATTGTCTGATCCAAACTCGATAATTTACATAACACCATCATATGGCTGGAATTTTGCTGAATGCGGTGTTAAGCAACAAACAAACAAAACCAAAAACAGTAACTAGGATTTAGATAGTTTGCCATATATTTGTTTCATCACAATCCAACTATATAACAGTCTTCTTTTCTTTCTTTGTTGTTTACCCTTGCAGCTCAGGAGCATTGCATTAATTATGAAAGCAATTATCATTTGGCCAAAGGTAACATGGTGGCAAAGTTCTACTTGAGATATGCAAAACAATATGAATATTTCAAATTGTCACATTTGATTGTATTCTACAGTTATGGTATTTGAGATATATTTTCTAATTGATTTATTATCAAACATTTATAGTTTGGTAAGGTATGTTGGATAAAGATGTATGTCAGATATGATATTGGTATCTTTTATAAGGATGTGATATATATATCATATATTAATTATGAATATTTGACATGAGTCATAGGTATGTATATAGGGGAGAAACAGTGCATATTATGTATTTCAGACAAATATGTATTGATTGCAATATGTATATCACACTATAAGTATATTTCACAAACAACATTGTGTACGCTTCTAGCAATGTTATTATGCAATTTAAGTCTGTCATAGACACGCAGTGATAGGCAGTGCTTCTACAAAAAATCCAACAGCCCGTATATGTTATTGACAGAAGTATATTTCAGTAGTGTGATGTGCATTGCAGGATTTGATGTGTATTTCATTGATGTGATGTATATTTCAGTGGTGTGATATGATTTGATTTCAGTGATGTGATGTATATTTCAGGCTGTGAATGTGTGATATATCAGAGCAATGGTGGCAGCACAGGTCGCTTCACATCCCCCAACTTCCCCCAGTACTACCCCCGCGACGCCAACTGCATCCTCTACACATTCATCGGAGATGTCAAGGAGCTTGTAGAAATTACTTTTCTGCAATTTGATATGAAAAAGGCGACATCAAATAAGTGAGTAACTTCAAATATCACTTTCTTACACATCAAATTCCAATACTTTCATACATTGGACATTGCTCTGATCAAGCTCCTCACAGGGATAACCCATTCACGCTCCCTCTACTGTCGCTGTGATAGGCAGCCACAACCATGCTTGGAGTTAGACCTCACAACCGACTGACCATTATGTTTACAAACATCTGATGACCAAATACTCATCCCTCTGCTAAATTATTTTCTTTTTTTATCTTTATTTAAATTCCTACTCATGTCAACTATTAAGGAGTGCTTTTCCATTAGTCTGCACTATCGAATCAATTCTGATTAAAGTGAGTGAGTGAGTTGGGTTTAATGCTGCTTTTAACAGTATTCCAGTTATATCACGGCGTGTCAGCTTAATGTGGGAGGAAAGCCCAGAGTGATGCAGGTCTCAGACAGGTACCACTTCGGTGAAACCCATGAGCACGGGCATAGTGTTGACAAACCTAGAAACATAATTCACAGAGAAATTCACAGAGAAATCAGTATGTTATACACGTTTTCGCTCGGAAACGTCCGCCATCTTGGATAAGACAAAACACAACACACGTAATTGCAGTGTTACACGTGAAATCTTCATGGCCTAATTTCACTGCAAGTTTTAAATTTATATGTTTAAAGTTTGTTTTACAGACAAGATTTCATGTACAGGTAAGATTAACACAATGCAAATTTAACAAGGTTGATCTGTCACCGCTGATTGTATTGATTCGCCGTCATTGTGTTGATTCGCCGCTGATTGCATACAGCCAATTGTCAGTGACACTTGACACTGAGTGAAATTTCTCAGTTCGCTATACACGTCACTAATTAGTGATAGATGGGCTTGTCGGTGATCAGATATCAGTTCGCTGTATCCGTTAGTTCGTTGTAGAGAGTTTGTTATATACGTAAATTTTATATGATTTTATATAGGAGATTAATCGGGGATTTTTTAACAGTTCGTTATATCCGTGTTCTCTTCTGTGTGTTCGAATCCCGGTTCGCCCTGATTATGTTTCTTGGTTTGCCAGCACCATACCTAAGCATCCACTTATAGGTGTAGTAATATACATAAAGGCATTAAACCCAACTCACTCACTCACTCACTGACATTATATGTGTTGGTCACACAGTTCAAGGATGAGCGATCATTAAAAGTGTCCATTTGCTGAAGACATTTTTCATGCATGACTGTGGCCCCCTTCCACAAAGTGATCTTAGTGCTAAGATCTTAATTGCCATTCTTTAACATATAGTTGTAGCGCTAATATCACATCATGGATTGAGCCAGGGTTGTGATGATGTACATCCATTGTTGTTTCTTTGGGAGCCACCTTCCACATTGTACATTGGCAGGCTGTGAGATGGCTGTGAGATAGCAGTAATAACATTTTAATGACATTCTATTTTATTTTTTTCACGCTTTTAACTTTGCATTATATTTGTGTCATGACAAAATATGTGCATTTCATGAATTTCAAACTGGAAGTTCGAACTGTTCCATTTTCAAGAAGTATCACATAAAAATTCCACACAAGTCCTTGGAATGATTGGCACTTTGACATTATGTTAAAATTTGTTTTTCATAAATAAATAACAGAGCTATGGAACCTGGCCTCTGATAACGATTACTAAAATATCATGGTAAAGTCAACTTACAACACATTGTCATGTTCATTGATATCATGACTGACCTCATTTGCACCTCATTAATTGTCTGTTTGACTTCGTAATAATTCAATTTATCATATAATGGGTAGGTTTCTCGGTAGATAAAACCAACCAATTAATATGGTATGTGTTGGTGTCATTTACGAAAATATATGCATATACAAAAGGTCAGGTAGGTACTACTTTCAGTGTTTGCAAACAAACTTTGCATTACCCTTGTCTATTGAATCAGAATTGACAATCAGGGATCTGGACAAATTACTCAGATAATTGTTATCATTAATTATATCAATAAAAGTCTAAGATACCGAAAATACCAAGGAGGTTGATTTTGATTTGGTATCCACAATGTTTTTAGGGTATTCTAATTTTTTTGACCCCCTGTTTCTTGACATTTGGGTATTTCAACTTGAAAACCTTTTTCATAATAATCCCTGTCAATCATTTAAAACTAAACGAATAATAGAATACCCATCTGCGTCTGCTTGCAGCTCCCTTGATCTCTGGGAAGCCATTTTTGTTTGCAAAACCAAGTATAGAAAGAAAAGCCATATTTTTTTAATCACCAATCAGCTACTGTTCAAGATGCATTGACTAAGCAAGATGGCTCAATTGGCATCAATATTAGCATCAGTATTTGAGTTTGTCGCACAAGCTTGTCCGAATGTAACTGTTGGTAAATGAATGTTGATCGATATACACAATCATTTGTAATATACGCAATTGTTTTATCTAATAGTTGATATATATGAATTAGTTATAATTCAATAGCGTATTTATAGTTTTTCATGCTTATTTGATACACTTTGATTTCATTTGTCTGCGTATTTCAGTGTATTTATTGCGAACTTTACGCAAATATGCCTCTTATCTCAAGCTCCGGTTGACCGCCAAAATTGCCAAGGCTTAGTACATACAATGCTTATTCCTAATACAGGATATTTCCCATCCAAAACGGTCACTTGCGTGCTAATCCTACATTCTAATGGATATTTCTTTTGTTTTAGGAATATTTGTTTTCAAGTGCTGTCATACACTAAAAGTCTCTTTTCAATTTCACAAAATATTTATCTTACAACTGGAACTGGGAATATTTGGACTTACACAATTGTATATTTTGAATGGGTTTTCCACAAAGTAACTCTTGTGTTATTTAATCACAAGAAGCATTGCGTAACTTTCATATTTTCCGTACCAACTGCATGTCATATGAGACAATTTATGGTATTCAGAGCCTAAAGGGTTAATAGGCTACATCAATTCTCAATTTTCAAGCTGAATAATCCACATCTAGAAACACAGATTATACAGAAATAGCTCCAAGTTCAAATTATGAAAACCTTTTAAAAGGGCCCCAAACATGTTATTTAGCCCTGAACATCCATCAAATATACAGGTTTGAAATTGTGGCACCCTGAGGTAGCAGATCGGGAGAGTGGCAGCGATGGCTGCAGTGTTACGATGAATTGCCACCTCCTAGACAATGTTTCTAGCTTGTGGCTATCATTATATCCAAACACCATTAACACCTATATCCATGAAATGAACAACAGCGACATCCACCAGCCATCTTTGTTCCCGAGATGTCGGATTTGCGATGCTTTACCGATATTGATCACGGAGCACGTCAGCCATGATTGGAGTTAACCCCACTAGTGTGGCGGAAATTAAGGTCGCATAGCCGTAGGTGAAGGTTAATTAATGATGACCAAAAGAACGGACAGGGGATTGCCGATTGAGCGTCTCGCTTTGAAATGTACATGAAATCCACCTTTGAAATCGACACTTGTCATTGATGTTAAAGAGCACGAAGGGATGCAATCAGCCGATTCTGAAAGTTAGGGTTTTCCTGGTGGCTTCTGGGAATTATTTAGCAGATTTGCACCTCTGCCTGAACAAATCTCTACCCATCCATTCTGTGCTTGCAAAGTATTTTATGTGAGAGGTAGTTGTGACGCGGCAGCATCTTTGATGTGTTGCTCATTCTTTTCTTTCTGTGTGTCTTCATGGGGAGATTATTCCAGCTACTAAAAAAGATGTGGCACATTTTTGGATGCTGTTTTTAAATTCCCGTGGTAACAAGGAGGTGCTTTGTGTATTTGGAAGTGGAATTGATGTTTGAGGTGTGGTTGGGGTGAGGTTATATTCAGGGATGATGATGTGGATAAAGTCTGACAATGTCACAGTCTTGCACAGAGGCAAAGTCACAATAATATACACAGTCGCAATCATATCCATAGGCAATGACATAATCGGACACAATAACTGTCACAATCCACTAACAGAGTCATTATCACATCCACATGCATTGACACATCACACCTACTAATACAGTCACATCCTCACTCATGATTAATATCATAATCGCACACACACACATCAACATTCAGGATTCACCTACATCCTACAATCCACCCAAACACACCCAACCCCAACACCTAAGTACACTTAGCCACCCCTCCCCACCCAGTCACAAGCACCCACACCGCACCCCGATCACAACATAGCAGCCACATCCCACCATTAGCACACCTTGCCCCCACACCCCGATCACACCCTAAACCCCACATCCTACCATTAGCACACCTTGCCACCACACCCCGATCACACCCTAAACCCCACATCCTACCATTAGCACACCTAGCCCCACACCATATCCCGATTACAACATAACACCCACATCCCACCATTAGCACACCTTGCCACCACACCCGGATCACACCCTAAACCCCACATCCTACCATTAGCACACCTAGCCCCACACCATATCCCGATCACAACATAACCCCCACATCCCACCATTAGCACACCTTGCCACCACACCCCGATCACACCCTAAACCCCACATCCTACCATTAGCACACCTAGCCCCAACAATATATCCCGATCACAACATAACCCCCACATCCCACCATTAGCACACCTTGCCACCACACCCCGATCACACCCCGATCACACCCTAAACCCCACATCTTACCATTAGCACACCTAGCCCCAACAATATATCCCGATCACAACATAACCCCCACATCCCACCATTAGCACACCTTGCCACCACACCCCGATCACACCCCGATCACACCCTAAACCCCACATCTTACCATTAGCACACCTAGCCCCAACAATATATCCCGATCACAACATAACCCCCACATCCCACCATTAGCACACCTTGCCACCACACCCCGATCACACGCACACACCACCAAACCACACCCTAACAGAACACCAACTTGTCCAGGGAGCTAAACATTACTTGGAAGAATATCTCATCTGGGAACGTTACCTCCACGGACAGACAAGATCCTGAAGCTGTTACA